ACGATTCTAAAGAAGTTTCACTTCAAAAAATATAACAGAAAAAAATCTTCAGTTATATGAACGAGGTAAACTTAATTGAAGTTCAATGAAAAGCATTGAATTTTTTAAACTAATAATAATTGTACAGCTCAGTATTAACGATCGTAGACCAGTTTAGTTCGTCGTTATACGGAGCATCGCGGGAATTTTCGCTTTTTGTCTTCCCTGCCTAGTGGTTTATAGTACTTATAGCGTAAGGAGCAACTCCAACTACGCGCGAAACTGTTTTTTCAATCAAATATCTGCCGACCGCATAGCGAGAAGGCCATTGCTACTTTTTCCCTGTCACTGAGAAGATCCGGCGAGGAACTCCGTGGGCTCCTTTGCTACCTTACAAGACAACCTCTGTGTTTGAACTTTTTGGTGGAGACGCGAGGAGTGAAGTCGTGTGATTTGTTTTATTTTGTCTATTTAGTGTTTCTTCAGGTTTAAATGTGTAATAATGGTGGTTTATTAACTGTTTAATATCTGTGAAAGTGCACAAATGTGGGAAAATGAAACAAAGCCCCTGGACGTAGCTGCTCAGTATCCTCCAAAAAGTCCACTGAAAAAAAGTCAATAAACAGATTATTTTTCATCCCATATCATTTCAGTTAATTTCGTTTTCATTTCATTTCATAATATCATTGTTCATATAAAAAAGTTTTCATTCAAATTAAATTAAGACTTGACCTAAAGGTCTTAGTTACCAGGTCATAAAATCCCTTAAAAAAAACGAACTTCAAGACTTTCGATTAATTGAAAAAATGCCTTCGAAGATGCATGCCGCAGGAAACTTATAAATTACTTTGACTTAATTTCCGGCTTGAGATCGGGCGATAATTTTTTTAAGTTCGTATTATTTTTAAAGAATGTTTTTTGTTTTAAACTTTAAGATAACAAACAAATTGCTAATTCTAAAGTTGTTTTTTTTTATGAGATAAGCGTACGATCCGTCGTGGTCAGTGGTCATCCTCGCGCATAGACATCAAGTGTGCTTAGTGCGAGTTTTTTGACGCTCACGATTGCGTAAAAATTAACACAAATTTGTATGGAGTTGGAACAGTGCCCCTAGTGGCAAACGTAGGCAAACGTTCCAACTCCATACAAAATTGAGTAAACTTATACATTGTCGAGAGCGTTAAAAAACTCGCTCTAAGCACAGAGGAGCACAGTGACAGCCATTGCTTGCCGCTGAATTTAATAACTCGCTTTCTCAAATGTAATTCATTTATTCACGAATAAAGGTTCTTGGATAAAGGAGATCGAAATAATTTTTTTTACTGGTGGTAGGACCCCTTGTGAGTCCGCGCGGGTAGGTACCACCGCCCTGCCTATTTCTGCCGTGAAGCAGTAATGCGTTTCGGTTTGAAGGGTGGGGCAGCCGTTGTAGCTATACTTGAGACCTTAGAACTTATATCTCAAGGTGGGTGGCGCACTTACGTCGTAGATGTCTATGGGCTCCAGTAACCACTTGACACCAGGTGGGCTGTGAGCTCGTCCACCCATCTAGCAATAATAAAAAAAAGATCGACTTCAGTACGCGTGCGTGCCGCGCTCGCGTGTTCCTCCGCAATAAATTTACGATATTGCCGAACTGCGATCAAATAGTGGACGGTGTTATGCCGCATGAGTTAATGCAGCGAAACGTTATTTAAAAATTGACTTAACATCACATCTATTTAAAATCGACGGCGCAGAACAAACTCAATAGACTTATAAACGTATACTACAAATTTATTTTAATATTGACGAGTCTACCCGTAATTAAATGCATACTTATCACACTGAATGCCGTGTAGGTCACGGTGCCCAACGCGGCGCACTGAAGTAATTACGTCAATTTTACTAAGCGACGCCTGGATTGACTAACTTTGCCTGCTTTTTTTTGGGTGCTAAGATAGGTGGACGAGCTCACAGCCTACCAGGTGTTAAGTGGTTACCGGAGCCCATAGACATCTACGACGTAAATGCGCCACCCACCTTGAGGTATAAGTTCTAAGGTCTCAAGTATACTTGTTTGTTAATGTACGTTTTTGTCTTTTAATGTCTATTAGAAATAGATTCGTTCTCAGTCTTTCCCAGAGTCTATTAGATATATTCCGGCGCCTTAGTAAGAATATCGAAGAGAAATATCGAAATACGTGGTAGAAGTGAAACCTTCAATGTTGGCTTCGAGAGCTAGTGAATTTATATCCTAATTTTACGTATCATCCGAAATTAAAATTCATTACAAAGAGATTTCATACATGTTAGTAATAAACAAATCTCATAGATGGCGCTGTATTAACAAACACTAAATACAGGTTCCTATCTCATTTTCTTCCACGTTAAATCTTATGAATTTATGTGTCTGTCTCTTTTTACTCTCGCTTTTTCGTTTCATCGACTTTCGTAACGATGCTAAAGAAGTTTTCACTTCAAAAAAGTTTATCTAAACAAACAAAAGATTACAGGCTGAGTTATGCATCTCATCTAAACTTTTATGGTCGTCACATGAGAATTGTCGCCTCTAAAGCATACTAATAAGTACCACATAAACCTCTCAATCCCTCACCGTCACAGTTTTGCAATTATACCAAGTCACATGAATGTAAAAATACATGCTGTCACGAATACTCAAAGTCAAATAATGCAATGACTTTTTTAATATCACTCTGCAAACCTCTTGATCTTCTGCCGGGTCCAAAAAGACAATCGAAGAATTTTGTTATGCCGGTAAAAGTAACGCGATCTGTTGTCAAATAGCAGAAATGAATATCAATGAGAACTAATATATCCATATTAATATCTAGAACGCTCGAAAAGTGCAACGCCATCTATTACCAAATAACGGAAACACATATCGAAACAGCCTAGTACTACCGGGAATGTTCTCGATAATTGTAGCTTTGTCGTGACGTTTATAACACGTCATTTCGGATTCTCCCGATACATTAACAGGAAATTAGCCCACAGACACAGCCCACTGAGTTTCTTGCCAGATCATCTCAGTGGGTCGCGTTTCCGATCCGGTGGTAGATTCTGCGAAGCACGGCTCTTGCTAGGGTTCGTGTTAGCAACGTCGTCAGGTTTGAGCCCCGTGAGCTCACCTACTAGTTGAGGTTACGCTGAAATAGCCTCTCAAGGCTATCAGCTAGGGTAGGAAAAAAAAGACACCTATAAAAAGCGTTGCAGAGATGACACGAAAGCAGTTAGTAATCGGTTTTACTCGAAGCGAAACAGCGAACGGATCACCTGAAGCGAAACGGGAGAAGTGAACTGCGAATTATGAAGTGTGCCTTAAGTGTAAGTTCAATAGAGTCTTCGGTGAATGTTTTATTTATCCCGATTTATCCGTAACAATTCCATTAATGCAGCATTACTGTGTGAAGCCGTCCAGCCCGGCAGATCACTGGCGAAATGTCGAGACTACGCTGCGATGTTATTTTTTACGGTACACGCTCATTCGTACCAAGCACGGCTTGTTAGCACGTACAGGATGTTAGAAAACTCACTCGAATTAAAATAGCTCAACTTTAAGAGGATCCATTGATATCTGTGTAGCATGTTTTAAATTTTTAAATATACATAATTACAAATAATTGTAGGTTAATGGACAAAAGCTCCGACTATGTATATATTGAATGCGAGTGAGCAAACTCGCCTACGATTTAGAAATCTATACATATAAAGAAAATTGGATTGTCTGTCTGTCTGTTTGTTCCGGCTAATCTCTGGAACGGCTGGACCGATTTTGACGGGACTTACACTGATAGGTAGCTGATGATATAAGGAGTCACTTAGGCTACTTTTTTAAGGCTAGCTTCGCCCCGCAGCGACACCCGGGGTACGACAATAACCGCAGTTAACATCACGGGAATCAGCCATCAATAATAAAATTTAATGTTTCCGAAGCGAAGCGAGAGCGGGTCGCTAGTGTAAAATAAATACGTACATAATGATTTATCGACCTCGCCAGTCAGTCGAGCTGGTCGATTTACTGCGAGACGCTTGGGTCCTAATGATAACTTTAGCTTACGTTATAAAAACAGTATAAAAATAGTATATCTTCACTCGATTTTTCTTCACATGTGGGTGGCGGCATTACTTTGTAGATGTCCATGAGCTCCGGTAACCGCTTATCACCAGATGAGCCGTGAGCTCGTCCACCCATTTAAGCAATAAAAAAAAGCAAACTTCAAAGACCACACGCTGTATTTTGGTTACGAAATATCACAATGTGATTTTCATAATCTTAACTGTCGCAGTTCCCGCCAAGCTGTAGGTACATATTCCTTGTGTTTTCCCGCTAACAAGAGGTAAGAAGTAGATAAGCATTTTATGTATTTACTTATTATAATCCAGAGGTTTTCCTAGCATAAAAGTCAGGGAATATTGTTATTGTGTACCTCATAAAAAAGCCATGTAACTATACTATTTATTGTACTAGTGTTATAAATTCTTGTACGTGTTTGTATTTTATTTATTATTATCGCTTAGATGGGTGGACGAGCTCACAGCCCACCTGGTGTTAAATGGTTACTGGAGCCCATAAACATCTACAACGTAAATGCCGTCACCAAACTTGAGATATGAGTTCTAAGGTCTCAGTATAGTTACAACGGCTGCCCCACCCTTCAAACCGAAACGCTTTACTGCTTCACGGCAGAAATAGGCAGGGGATACCTACCCGTGCGGACTCGCAAGAGGTCGTACCACCAGTAATTACGCAAATTACAATTTTGCGGGTTTAATTTTTACGTGGAAGTCAATCGTGAACATTTGTTAAGTAGGTGTATTTCATCAGAAAAATTGGTACCCGCCTGCGGGATTCGAACACTGATGCATCGCTCCATACGAATGCACTGCTGTGCAATGCAGTGCTTTTGTGGCCCACCGATTATGAGTGGGACGGCATATATGAATGGCCCACTTCAAATTACTGTCGGTCGGTTTACTGTCAACTGTCAGCTCTTAACATACATGACAATTTCAGGGTGCAGCCGAGACTTAGAGATGTCCTTGAAAACGTTGAGCTCCGGGCAGAGGGGTCACCGGAACGGACACTCAGTACGGTTCATAGGCGATGAGCTACCGAACTACAGATCCTTGGTACGTAGTTAGGTGAAGAACCAGGTTTTTGTAATGAAACTTCTTTTGGACGCGTTGAAAGTCAAATTTAACTCGCGACAATAACACCTCTTATGAGTCCTCGCGGGTACGTACCACCACCCTGCCTATTTCTGCCGTGAAGCGTAATGCTCCAGTAACCACTTAACACCAGGTGGGCTGTGAGCTCGTCCACCCACAGCAATAAAGAAAATAAAAAGCAACCGCTGTAGATAGCTGAGTCATCCATATCCGTGTAACCAACTTCGAAAAAGAGGAGAGGAGGAGGTTTAAAATTGACCGCCAGTATGATTCAGGATTCGTCCGAGTCGAGTCCACCGAACTATGGCGGCTCTTGTCCCGGAAACGACTCGGGGGCCGACAGTCCGGGCACGTGCACCTACCAGCCAGCCGCCCAGAGATACCGGCTCAACGAACAAAGTAAGTCCTCGAGACGATGACGTATATCAACAGATGCCAGTGTGCTCGATGCGAGCATTTTAACGTTCTCGATAGCGTCAGCAAAAAAATCCGGGACAAAATTCAGAAAGAAGAAATTCGACGGAGAACCAAAGTCGACGACATAGCTCTCAAAGTTAGCAGGCTGAAGTGGCAATGAGCCGGTCACATCTGTCGAGCCAGCGACGCCAGATGGTGGAGGAAAGTCCTCGAATGGAGGCCACGGATGGGTACCAGGACTGACGACTTAGTGCGCACGGCGGGAAGTCGTTGGATGCGGTAGGCGGAGGACCGCATTCTGTGGAAGGCATTGGGGAAGGCCTATGTCCAGCAGTGGGCAGATAAAGGCTGATGATTATGACGATGATAGCGTAAACGTTAACTCCAATTTGTATGCAGTTGGAACAGCGCCCCTAGCGGGAAACGTAGATGGCGTTTGAGTTAACTTTTACGTTATCGAGAACGTTAAAAAACTCGCACTTCGCACACTAAATCTCGATAAGGACGATTTCAAGATAAACTTAGAGCCAGGTAATATTACACTAGATACAGTATTATTGTATTATTAGCGACCCGCTCTCGCTTCGCTTCGGGAACTGTAATTTATTATCGATCTTATTGAATTTTCTTGTATGTAATACAAATCTGGTTTTGACAGTAACAAACATCAAAAAAGAACATAACCAACAATAAATAATAGTTTAAAAAAACTAACAAAATATGCTTTTAAAGAAAATCCAACTAAATAAACAAATAATGGTTTAAAAAAACTAACAAAATACGGTTTTAGTTGAATTGAAATTTTTTCAATATTTTTTTTCATATTGAATTGTCATCGGTCCTTAATAATACCAAATTTCGAGTTTATCCGACATTTTGAAGGGGGTCAAAATCATGTTCAAAGATTCCGTTACATACTAACATACATCATACACCTGAAGCTATATTCATGGTTCACTATTTTGGCGATAATGGCTTGCAAATAAAAGATAGGTGCTTTTGCGGGCTTTTCCTACCAATATTTGAGATAAACATTTCCATTTTACACTATACCTAGTCAGGTCATAAATTCTATCACATGTTTAATGTAAAATAATTGAAACAAGTTTATTCATTATGTAACCATTCATATACCAAAATTAACTTAATAAAACATAGATTCTTATGACACTAAAGTTTATTCAAAATGACCTCCGTGATTCTTAATACAGGCCTTCAATCTGCGCGGCCAGTCGTCTATCGCAGCACGAACGAGGTCCATGTCAATATCGGCGGCTGCCTTAATCAAGGATGTCTTGAGTGACTCCAAATTGGGATGAGGCTTTGAGCACGCCTTTTCCTCCAAGTGTTGCCATATCTTGTAATCTAACGGATTCAAATCTGGACTGGAGGAGGGCCAGTCTTCGTGCCGGATGAAGTCGATTTCACGCGCCGCCAGCCAGTCTTGTGTGCTCTTCGCTCTATGAGCTGGCGCCGAATCTTGTTGGAATACCCAGTGCCTGTTATTGAACATGG